CCCCCACAACAAGTGATTATCTGACTCCAAATGTCAGTTGTGCTGAGGTTGAGAAACCTGCTGTAGCAGAAGATACACACATTGAATAATTGGTTACGCTGTGGTGAGATACATGCAAAAATATACGTAAGTATAAGATATTGAAGCAAGTACATGTGTTTGTGTTTGGAAGGGTAGGGGTAGGAGGGGACATTGGGGAAAGCCTCATGGGAAAAGACTCCAAATCACGATTTTTACTTAATGTCTTTTAATTAACTGTCCAAGAATGACTTTTGAAAGTTTATTAGTCAGGAACTACATATTGGATTTTTTTTTTCTTTTTGCACAACCCTCTGGGTAATTTAACCAAATGTTTTTGATGACTTCATATCTTCTCTAAAAAATAAAATTTCCCCAAAGAGCTGGGGAGAGACATACTAAGAGAAAAATCCATTTAGTAACCTTAGTTCATGCTTCTCTATTCTACTATAACCTATTATGTTTATAGTTCTTCCACCTGGGCAGTTCTCCCCTTTTCTCCTTCAAGATTCATCCTCATGACCCTTGGCTCATGAAACCTTTGGAGATTTCAGTTCACTGTTACCAGTCTATTCTCTAATTTCCTTAAGAGCCTCTTACCTCTTTCCCCATGTATATCAGTCTCTTGGGTGTATTTATACATAGACTATGGGTTACTAAAGAACAGGGTCCTCCTGCAGATCCCTCTACCACATTGGACCCTGATTTCCAAGAGGAAGAAGGAAAAAGAGATTCAGGGAAGATGTCAGGATACTAACATTTTGCTGGGACACTGGACTCCTGTATACAGCACATTTTATCTTTCCAATTCTCTGGATCATGTCTTATAATAAAGCCTAAAAGTTTAATCGCTGCTCAGTTGGAACAACATGCAAAAAATAAATTGCCATAATTATTATTAGCATTTTCTTACAGATTTTTTTCAGAAGCTATCAAGCAGATCAACCTTTTTGTTGTCATAGAGGCAGAGATCTTTATATAATCATAGGCAAGATGAGATTTTTTTCTCTCTCCCTTTTATTTGTCTGGAACTAATAAGGAAAGAAAAAATTTAAATCTATTTTTTCTATTATATTTTTTATTCCTCAATTAAAACTAGTAAAAACGTGGGAGGCTATTTTTTTTTTTTGTGTGTGTGTATCACATTTTAGATTTGAAATACCCAAGTTTTAATAAAATATGGAAGGGATGGACAGGATTGAACAATGCCATTTTCAAGATATGTCAGCATGGGCTTGTCAATGATAAGCAATTACAATCCACAGACCACCCCACCCCCATTTAAACCAAATAGTGAACTTCATTTGGAGGTCTTACAAGTCAGGATAGCCAAGGCCTGAAATGATTAAAGCGTGAACTAGCACTTGCTGAGGGGCTGCTGAATTCTCAGGTGCTCTAGGTACTCCCCTTCTCCAATCCCCGAACCCAGAGTGCTCCTCTTCTCTCTGCAAGTCCTGTGGATAACAGTGCAAGCCCACCTCCCTCTTCTTCCGGAAGCCTTACCTCATAATGTCAGTTCTCTTCTTTTTACAAACTCCTGATAAATTGTCATTCATAGCATTTGTCTATTTTATAATTACTGTTTACCATTTTATTTATTCATCATTAAGAAAAGAGGATTTTAGCATGAATTCAAACACCTTTCCTGCCCTTTGTCTCCATATATCTTTACTCAACTGACTTCTTGCCCTGGGACTCAGAAGTCTGTCTGTTCTTTCTAAGATTAACCTATGATCTGAGACGAATACTTTCCTCCCACTCGCACTGAGATCCCACTCCATCAAATATTACTCTCCCTACTCCTTGCATTGTCAGTGTCTGTCCTTCTCCATGGACAGACATGGATTCCTCCACCTATTTCTCTTCAAAAGAAAAAACAAAACATTTTTCTCAATCCTGTTTATTTTTCATATGCTTCAGAGTTTGGGGTTTTAATTTGATCACAGCTGCCTTTTACAATCGATAGGTATTATGGATGTGTGTGTGTGGGGGGGTGGTGGAGGTGTGGAGATGGAAAGTATATGGCACAAGGAAGTTTACAACATGCGTCTTGCTTTCCAGAAGGTTATATCCTCTGTAGAGAGCAATATCTTGCACCAGAATCACATGGGGAGTTTGCTAAAGCACAGAATGCTGGACCATACCCTCAGTAGATTGGGGCTGGGGCCTGAGAGTATGCATGTCTAACATTTCCCAGGTGATGCTCATGCTGCTAGTCTGGGACCAAGACAGGGTGGGGAACCTTCTTTTTTTTTCTTTTTTTTTTTTTTTTTTTTTTTTTTTTTGCCAAGGGCCATTTAAATATTTATAACATAATTTGCTTAATATAATTCACTTAATATAAATTTATGTTGTTATGAAAAAAGCTTCTAGATTTATAGAATTGTGAGTTGTACCTGCAGTTGACTTGCCAGACCAAATGACTTCAAGGGCCTTTTGTGGCCTGAGTTTGGATGTTTCCCACCATGACCTAAGGGGTCTAAATGTCTAGGAGAAGATGCTCCTGGAGTGATGCCAAAATAGAGGAAGCCCAGGGTTTTCCAGAATCCCACAGAAATGGCAAAGGACTTCAGAGCCTGGACAACTAGTTCCTTTTTGGGAGTGAGACTAGGCAGCTTTAGCATGCTAGCAGACTTATCTTGTCTCTCACTCAACCCCAAATCTAGTCAGCACTTAAAATCTTTTAGAAGGGTTCTCAGCTTCTTTAAACCGTGCTTTGGGGCAACAAGAGGATTTTTGTTTTATTTTGGTCTTTCCCCTTCTGTCTTCTCCAGGGAAGGGGTACACTTCTGAGGCCTCCAAGGGTGTGGCGGCAGGAATTGCGAGATTTCAGTGAAAAGCTGAATCTGAAAGGAGCTGGGACTTGGTCCACCCATTCCTGCCTCCCATCAGGGATTCTCCACTCAGTGCCAATTTTGGAGAAGCTGGAGAAAAAGTTATATATATATATATATATATATATATATATATATATATATATATATGTATATGTATAATCTGTAGGATGAGGAGTACCAGGCTAGTGAGAGAGGCTGTGAGTGGCATAGTCATTCATAAGAGCAGGATGAGAGGCTTGTCAGAGAAGGACAAGGCCTGGGACTTTGAAGGCAGGTTCCATAGATTTGTAGATTGATTGAAACAAATTCTATCAGCATGCTCCTCCCTTTCAGGGGATTGAACTGACAAGATAATTAATGAGAACTAATTATTATAAACCCCTCAACCAACCTTTAAACTGTATCTGTCAACCACAAATATCCCCTGAAGGCCACTCACTCTTCTGGGGAAGAAGTCTGGCCCCTCAGGAGGGAGGGGATTCCCCTCAGTGAAATGGGCTTCTGACAGACTGCTGGAGCCCAGGGAATTGGGGAGGGGAGGGGTCTCTTTTCTCGCCCAGCATGAAATTCTATCACCTCCAGTTATTAGAACATGACCAAGACCTCCACTTTGGTGCCATTTGGATACTTTTATAGTATCCCTTTTATCTTGTAACAAGTTTATTAAAATGTAATTCATATACCACAAATTCACCTATTTATAGTGTACAATGCAATAATTTTTAGCATATTCATAGAGTTGTCCAACCATCACCACAATCTAATTTTAGATAGTTTTTGTCAACCCCCCCAAAGCCACACTCATTAACAGTCACCTGGCCCTTACTCCAATCTGGCAGTTTCTGTGTATCTGGATATTTCCTTTTTTTTTTTAAAAATACATTTTTATTGCTTTTAGAGAGGAAGGGAGAGGGAGAGAGAGAAACATCAACGATGAGGGAGAAATCATTGATTGGCTGTCTCCTGCACATCATTTGGAGGTCTAGCCTGCAACCCCAGCATGTGCCCTGACCCGCAATCAAACCATCACCTTCTGATTCATTGGTCATTGATCAACCACTGAGCCATGCCAGCAGAGCTCTGACATTTCAAATAAATAGAATCATATTATGTGGGTACCTTTTTCTAAATTGAAGAAAGGAGACCTGATACACTACCAGGTATCCTCAAACTTTTTAAAGTGGGGGCCAGATCACGGTCCCTCAGAGAGCTGGAGGGCCGGACTATATGAACTATTAATACTAATTCCTACTGTAACACCTCGGCTGCGCTCACTGCCCAAAAAACCTGGCGGGCCGGATCAGACTCCTCTGCGGGCCGCATGTGGCCCGCGGGCCGTAGTTTGAAGACCCCTATTAAGTGACTAGACACTCTGACACACTAGCACTAACCCCCCTTCTCTTCCTCACCCTGTTATTTCAGCACACACCTTCCTCCACCTGCTTGCTGATGTATACAATTCCCTTAACCAGCCCTGTGGGTGTGGAGGCCTTGGTGGCAGGCTTAGGGGGGACACAGGGCCTCTGACTGATGAGGCCTTGATTGAAATGCATTTGTCTGGCGCAGGGGTGGAACAGGGCTCCCATGCTCACTAAGGTGTAGGAGGGCCCTGGCTGGGGGAGGCGGCTCCCAGCTGTCCGGGTTGTGACCAGCTCACCCTTGGCCATTGGGCCTGAACACGTTATTCCTAGACGACCAAAGGAAGCCAGAGTCAAAGTAAGTTCTACCCAGCCGGCTGCCTCAAGGCTCACAGACCACGCAAGATTCCTCCGGGCAGACAGCTGCTGTTGGAGGAGCATCACACCCTGCCCCTTTCATGAAACTACACCTTCCCCTTTGGCTTCTGGGCAGTTCCACGCCCCCTGCTGCTGCCCCAACCAGGAGAAAGAGGGGACGGGGTCCCCAGGAGCTGGAGGTACACAGCAGGTGGGGCCCAAATCCAAGATGCAGTACAGAGTGGTAAGGACAGACCCCAATCTTTGGCTTCTCATCATCCTAAAAGGTAGTGGGTTTGACAGGGCGGAAGGATTTCCTCCAAAGTTCCAGGTAAAGGCGGGCAAAGAGTAGGGAGGCGAGACGGTGGGGAACAAAGGAGGGTCGCAGGCCGGGGGAGGGTCGCAGGTCTGGGGCGCCTCGCGTACTCACAGTCGGGTGAGGCCGGCCCGCGGGCCAGGGCAGCGCAGGGCGCCGTCGGGCGGGCAGCTGCAGGGCTCCGGGCAGTGCGCCCGGCTCAGCGGCAGAGGCAGCGCCAGAGGCAGCAGCAGCAGCAGCGCCAGCAGCGGCCACAGCGCGGGGGACGGCTGCCCCATGGCAGGAGAGCCCGAGCGCAGGCTTTGGCGACTGGGCGGGCGCCCTTGATAGCCCTGGAGTGGCCCGCGCCCCTCTCCCCGCCCCTCGGCCTGTCCTCCCACCTCCTCGGCTCCGCCCGCCCTTAACCCCGCTCCAGCTGAAATTAGGTTGTTCTTCCATGTGGGACAGTGTTCAGCACCCCATCGCTTCCTTACTGCTGCTTTTCCTGGGTTGTTCAGTCCGCTGCCTCTGCAAATAGCCGTAGTTCTAAGGGTAGCTGTGGTGGGAAGGGTGCATGCTTGGATAAGGGGTGCATGCTTGGATAAATTCAGAGTGCCTGTCCTGGCTCCACTGGAACCAGGAGTGTGAAGTTGAGCTCAGTTGAAGGAAAACTTTAATTCACTTTCCCTGACTCCTTTTATTTTATCTGGGAAGGCACAGCCCCGTACTGGGGTACAAACAGTACCCCATCCCAGGGGTGAAAGTGCCCAGCTGAGAAGCTTCTTCTCTCCTTCATTCTCAGCCCTAAATCCTCCCTCCTCCTTCCCCACCATCTCCCTCCACTCTAACCTAGTCTCTGTCCTCCCAGCTTCCCCAGTGCTGCTCAGTACCATCTTAGTAGTAACTGCTGCTTTCCTCCTTATATAACAGAGGGTTGTACTAATCTCCGCTATAGGTTGTGAGGTGCCAGGGATTCTTTCTGGCTTCCACTTGGTAAAGATTTGTTGAGTGGATGAAACTGCTCTAATGATATACAGCCACTACTCCACTGGGAGGCCCAGGATAGGCTGGATCTGTGACAGGTGCTTTTCTTCACATCATGTCCAAGCTTCACAGTAAACTAGCAAGTGTTACAATTAGGAAAACGATGTCCTGAGAGGTTACGTGATTTTCCCGAAGTCACACAGCTTATAAGCAGCAGAAACCTGTTTGAACTCATATATATTACCCATGCAAAAAAATTACTATATGATCTACATACCAAGAACTTGGAAAGGAGATAAAATGTATGGTAAACCTGGGGACCCATAATTTCCCCTATTTAATCCTATCATTAAAACACTTTTCTACTTCTTCCCAAGGACTCTGGAAATCCTAGAAGTCTTTCTGGAAGAGGTGGACTTTGAGAGCTGGGAAGGTAACCAAGACTGTACAGACAGGCGAAGCTTTTGATGCTGACTGACATAGAAACTGACCAATCAGAACCAAATTGAACCAGCAGGGGTGGGCAGTTTGGGACAATCAGGCAGACAGAGACAGTTAATGGGTGATCAGGCAGGTAGACAGGAGCAGTTAGTTAGGGGTGATCAGGCAGGCAGGCAAGTGAGTAGTTAGGAGCCAGTGGTCCCAGATTGTGAGAGGGATGTCCAGCTGGCAGTTTAAACTGGCAGTCGGAAATCTCCCAAAGGGTCCCTGATTGGAGAGGGTACAGGCTGGACTGAGGGACCCTCCCGCCCCCCTCCATGCATGAATTTTGGGCCACTAGTATAAAAAGAATGGCTGTTCCCACCTATCCCTGAAGAGCCATCTGATTCTGTGCTTGGGTATCCTTGGGTGCTTAAACTCCCATAAGAGAAGAACAGAGCGGTCAGAACATCTTGATTTTCCTTTCTGTTTCATCATCAACCATGTGACTTGGTCTTTGATTTCCTCATCTGTAGGAGGAGAGGTTGGAATTCACAATCCTTAAGGCTCTTCTAGCTCTAACAGTGCAAGGCCTTCTTGGGCAGCTCCTATTGTCTTGGTGGTGGAAGGAGGTGAATTGTGCATGTTCACTTCTTATTGCTTGTGTTGGATTGGAAATTAAATCCTTTATAAAAAGGAGAAATTCAGTTGAAGGAAAACTTTAATTCTAATAAGCTTTCATTAAAAATTTTATATCTCTGATTAATTTCTGTTGTATCTTGCTTATCACATTGGTTCCTGTAGTATATCTATCATAACAAAAGCACACTGATGGTTTGTTAAAATCACAAAAGTTTCTTACAGTGGAATTTACCTATCCTAAGTAAAATGTAACCTATTTAGAGTGAATATTTTTAAATACGAAGAACCCCTATGTCATATAATTATACTTATAGTTACTTTTGTCACAGAACCTCAAAAGAGCATGACCCACAAGGATTGCTAATTATATTTTACTGATAAACTAAAGTTCTTGGAATTCACAAGAAGTTTATTCTACCTTAAAGAGATAAAGAATATCTGATGTGTCCTAGCTGGTTTGGCTCAGTGGATATAGGGTGTTAGCCTGCAGACCAAAGGATCCCAGTTCAGTCTGGTCAAGGGCATGTTGTACTTTGGTTGCAGGCTCCTCCCCAGGCCTGGGGCCTGGTCGGGGCTCATGAAGAGGCAATCAACCATTGTATTTCTCTCACATGGATGTTTCTCTATCTTTTCCCTCTCTCTACCACTCTCCCTAAAAATCAATGGAAAAAATATCATTGGGTGAGGATTAAAAACAGAAAAAGAATATCTGACATTACAACTCAGAAATCTTAATAATTTTTTTTTGGTAATTTTAGAACAGGGATTCTTATATTGTATTTTAAGATGCAGAAATATCATTTGGAAGCTTTAAAAACAAAGATTCCTGGGACCCTTCCTCCAAAGAGAATTCAGTTGATATGAAGTGGGGCCCGGGGGTCTGTTCTAACGAGCACTCATGCAATTTTGATGCATGGGGTTCCCAGAACACAATTTGTGAAACATTAAAATGGAAATCCTAGAATTAAATTTGCCTTGAGAAGACAAAGTTCAAGAATCTTTACTATGGATTCTGAATGAAGTTAAAAAATTTTGACCCATTGTTAAAGAAATTTGGTATGTGTTAGCACATGCATACAAATAATATATCTGTAAAATTGTTCAACTGATTACAATACTGAGGTTTTGTTTTACTTTTTTTTTTGAAGTAGCAATCAGTTTACTCATTAAAATTTTTTTTTGGTGGGAGAATGAACAATTTCACAAAATCATAGATCATATTTTTTCTTATGCCTCACTAGATCAAAAATCATTAGCACTTGATGTCACACTAAGATGCTGGAGTTGGAGGAAATCGGCAAAGTAATGAAAAAAACCTCAAGCAGGTTAGGTAAGATTTTCTGATTCTTGAACACATATCATATTAGTATAATACCCTAACTGATATTTTTTCCTTCTTAAAAGCATTGGTTTTATCTTTCCCTTAGAAGGAAAGTAGGGCAGAGGAAAAAAAAATGTCTAAGGAAAGAAAAATACAGTTAGCCTGTCAGTTGTTCACTTTACCACGGGGAGCAAAATAAAGCAAACAAAAAAGATGACCCCTGAAAGTTCCACTGTGAAATTTCATGCAACCTCCCTGTGGCTTGCTTGGAAATTTCACCTTCTGTTTTACTGTCTATATGGTGTGAAATCAGAGATGTGATCAGCTGTGCTCTCTCCAACTCTGCCCTGGGATTCCCGAGAGCCTTTGCAGGAACTAGCTCGAAGCTGAAGGTTGATGGGCACCAGCCATAGGGATGGGTCTGGTAATAGAGGCTTAAGGATAGTCTAGGGCCATGGCTGGCAAACTGCGGCTCACGAGCCACATGCAGCTCTTTGGTCCCTTGAGTCTGGCTCTTCCACAAAATACTATGGCTTGAACGAGTCTATTTTGAAGAAGTGGTGTTAGAAGAAGTTTAAGTTTAAAAAATTTGGCTCTCAAAAGAAATTTCAATCATTGTACTGTTGATATTTGGCTCTGTTGACTAATGAGTTTGCAGCCCACGGGTCTAGGGCATGAGAGTTCTTCTCCAGGACTGCTGGAAAGAGCTAGAGAAGGGGTCTTGCCATTTTGGTCCTGTTGTTGGAAGGATATAAATGAATTGGGGCTGTTGTTCTCCTTCTCTCATGGAAAAGCTTACCTGTTCTGGCAGTGATTAAAACTACAGAGAGAAAAACAGAGATGAGAGACAGATGTGGGCAAACGGAGCCTGAGGCCAGCACCTTCCTTGGATTTCCCAAGTAATGAGCCAATGCACCTTTTCCCCTAATTGGAGTTGAGTCTCTCTCACTTACAACTAAACTTCCTAATCTCTCCTACCAGCCTTGCTGTGACCTTTATTTGACTTGCCTACACCCTCCTTCCCTTCTCAGCTAGGAAAGAAATAGGGCTTTTCCATTCTTATCTCTGTCATAGGACTCACTTTCCCCCCTTGATTGGTAGCATTTATCACTGTGCTCCTGGGAATAAACTGGCCCAGTAAATGAATGAACAAATGAATGAATGTGAATGAGTGAAAAAAGAGGCAGTGTCATAGAAACACATTATTCTTCTTTTTAGGGAATCTGCATTTTGCTAAATAACTCTCCAAGCATTCTATTTTATGTATATATTTTATTGATTTTTTTTTTTTTACAGAGAAGAAGGGAGAGCGAAAGAGAGTTAGAAACATCAGTGAGAGAGAAATATCAACCAGCTGCCTCCTGCACATACCCTACCGGGGATGTGCCCACAACCAAGGTACATGCCTTGACCGGAATCAAATCCAGGACCCATGAGTCTGCAGGCCAATGCTCTATCCACTGGTTTAAAAATCAAAATTTCAAGCTAAAATATTAAGTAGAGCCAACATAAGGAAAGAGAAAACTTTCTCACAGGATGAAATAAATAAAAAAGGAAACAGGATTTGAGTTTTAAAAAACTGATGTAAAATTAAAGTGTGTACATAGGATACTGTTGTCTCCCATGGTAATTGGCAGTATTTAGGGAATAGGTGTCAAAGTTCAAGAAATTTGGGTCAAATTAAGCAAAGTTCTTTACTAGACACTTTCTCAGAATTTGTAATATGCATTGTACATCTCCAAGAGGGACATAGGACATGCAGGGGATGGTGTTGCTTTGGGACATATGCTGGGAATACTAATTTGGGAATATAGATTGAGAAAACAGACTTTTGTGGCAAAGAACCCCTTCACTAACCTGGAAGCCAGAGTTGACCTTGGCATGAAGATAGCCTACCAATATGTGGACTTGCTGGTGATTGGGAAGGTTGTTGGATAACTCTTCTCCCTCTAGCCTTTGATATGGA